AAAGCTTTTGCTTAACAAAGGAAACAGTCAACAAAACCAAAAGACAATTGACTGAATGGGAGAAAATATTTGCAATTGTCTTATCAGATAAAGGGCTAGTATCCAAAATCTATAAAGAACTTATCAAGCTCAACACCCAAAGAACAAATAATCCAATCAAGAAATGGGCAGAAGACATGAACAGACATTTCTGCAAAGAAGACATCCAAAAGGCCAACAAACACATGAAAAAGTGCTCCACATCACTCAGTATCAGGGAAATACAAATCAAAACCACAATGAGATACCACCTCACACCAGTCATAATGGCTAAAATTAACAAGTCAGGAAACGACAGATGTCGGCGAGGATGCAGAGAAAGGGGAACCCTCCTACATTGTTGATGGGAATGCAAGCTGGTGCAGCCACTCTGGAAAACAGTATGGGGGTTTCTCAAAAAGTTGAAAATAGAGCTACCCTACAACCCAGCAATCTTACTACAGGGTATTTACCCTAAAGATACAAATGTAGTGACCTGAAGGGGCACGTGCACCCAAATGTTTATAGCAGCAATGTCCACAATAGCGAAACTATAGAAAGAGCCTAGATGTCCATCAACAGATGAATGGATAAAGAAGATGTGGTATCATTGTATATATGTATATATCATTGTGTGTGTGTGTGTGTGTATCATTGTATATATTATATATAATATATATCATTGTATACATTCCATTATATACAATGTAATACTATGCAGCCATCAAAAACCGAAATCTTGCCATTTGCAAAGACATGGATGGAACTAGAGGGTAGTATGCTGAGTGAAATAAGTCAATTAGAGAAAGACAATTATCATATGATCTCTCTGATAGGAGGAATTTCAGAGGCGGGGCATGGGGTCACAGTGGGTAGGGAGGGAAAAAGATGAAACAAGACGGGACTGGGGAGGGATACAAACCATAGGAGATGCCTTAATCTCAGGAAACAAACCAAGGGTTGCTGGAGGGGTGGGAGGGGAGGGATAGGGTGGCTGGGTTATGAACTTTGGGGAGGGTATGTGCTATGGTGAGTGCTGTGAATTGTGTAAGACTGATGATTCACAGACCTGCACCCCCGGGGCAAATAATGCACTGTATGTCAATTTAAAAAAGATGAAATCAGAGAGGGAAACAAACTGTGAGAGACACTTAACTATAGGAAACAAGCAGGGTTGCTTGAGGAGGGGGAAGTGAGGTCACAGGGTAACAGGGTGATGAGCATTAAGGAGAGCATGTGATATAATGAGCATTGGGTATTATATAAGACTGATGAATCACTGACCTCTACTTCTGAAACCCATAATATATTATATGTCAATTAATTGAATTTAAATTTAAAAAATAGATCAGTTGTTCTAAAAAAAAAAAAGAATAAAACCCAAGGAATGTATGTATAGCACATACACCCAAAGCTTGGGCTTTAACCTTTTCCTTTCTTTAGTTCATTTATTAATTTGTTATTATTATTTTCTGTAGCTATTTGTAGAGGCTACATTTTAGGCAGTGTACTCAGGAGCCAAAGATGAGTAAAAGCAGGCATGCATCCTGGTAGCATAGTGGGAATGAAGACAGTTAAGCCAAAAGCACACAAGAAAATATTTTCAATTTACACTAAGGTATTGTATGTACCAAGGTGACCTGATTTAATATGGAGTGTTAGAAATGTCTGACAAGTGTCACTTGGGCTAAGGGTGAAAGATGAAAAGAACCTGATAGGGGACAGCATCATGAGCATAGGCACAGGCCACACTACACTGCAGTCTTCTAAGGCTGGAGAGAGCATTAATTACTAGATGAGGGATGGAAGGAAGAAACCTAAAGTTAGGTCTGGAAAAGTAAACAGAGACAGACCATACAGGATCCTATACGCCATGGAAAGAGGTAAAAGGGTTTTATGTGGCTGGGTGATATAAAGCTCATGGTGTAAAAATATAACTATGGGGGTGCCTGGGTGGCTCAATGGGTTAAGCCTCTGCTTTCAGCTCGGGTCATGGTCCCAGGGTCCTGGGATAGAGCCCCACATCCGGCTCTGCTCAGCAGGGAGCCTGCTTCCCCTCCTCTCTCTCTCTCTGCCTACCTCTCTGCCTGCTTGTGATCTCTGTCTGTCAAATAAACAAACAAAAAATAACTATGGGGTGTAGAAAGGACTGAGAGGTGTGTAGAAAGATTATCCAGAGAAAGCTAGGAGTAGCTACTGCCATGGTCTGGGTCAAACATGGTGGAACAGGGTGGAGTATGTGGTAGTCTTTTGTTGATTATCTCTTATCCTACTGAGAATACTGCAGTGCATTTCATATACAGTGGGACCAGACTTAGTATTTTTGGAGCTGTCAGCTAAGAAAAAAAGTCATGGAAATGCAACAGTGAGTCTCTGTGATAAATGAACAATGTATAAGGAAGCTCTTACTCTTTTATCAATAAATAATCAGACTATGATATGATCTTTCATATTCTAGTCATCACCAAACTATATTATGCCCACATATTTTACTAGATATGGTTCTGTATAATCAAATACTCATCTTCCCTTTCTCTGAGAGTTTTTAAGATCTGTATAAGGGGCTTCGGATCTGATGCGCTGAAGGAAAAAGATTCATAACAACCAAACCTAGCTCCATGATTAAATAAATTTATATTCATGCTGGACAAGGGAAGCAAGTTGTCTCTTGCCTGGGCTACATCTTTCTTTGATTAATAATCCCTTGCATGGTAGAACACTGTTGTTAACTTACCTATGACTGACACCTTTATCTGTCTGTTCTTAGAATAAAAATAGCTTCACTCAAGTCTCATTAAAAAGGTTGTTCATCAGGGTGAATTTAATAATACCACTGCCCGTCCTTAGAGTCCAGCGGAGATGGGAGAGAAGTCTTCTGGTATGTCACCAGGTTTCTGACCATGACCTGGCTGCCATGGGAGCTAAATGCATTCAGCAGCTGCTCTGTATGCTAGCTTGGTCTCCGGAGGCTGTTTCCCTTGCCATCTCTTCCTTTTTGGATCCCCAAACCTCACCCATATCACCACATCCCATGAGGGATCATTTCTGTTTCATTAGCTGAAAGCAACTGAAGGTGCCACAGGTCCCAGGGATGATTACATGTTTATTAGCACATTGTGGCTTAGCAAAAGCCCTATAAAACACGACAAATATAACGCACAGTAGTGCAGTAGGAAAGACTGTGAACCAAATAGCCTGAGTCCAGGCCCTTTTTCTGGTACCCATTAAAACCATGGCACAGATGACCAGCCAGTGATCACACTGAGGTGAAGAATGTCATTTCCAGAAGACAATACTAAAAATGTATTCGTTGTCAGAATTTTAAAAAGCGCTTCCTGCATTTCTGTCTAAACTCCCCCAAGGGTTTAATATCTGTCATCTTCTATATGAATCAGTCTTCAGTGGTAAACAAAATTGTATTCATTGGACAAGTAAACATCGGGGACTGGTAGTCTTCATCAGGAATGTTACTGCCTCAGATTAATGCTTCATTGAATTTCTCTTGTTTCTTTCCTTGCAAATCCCCACCTTCTCCTTTAGCACAATGATTGTTATAGAGAAGGAAAAATACTAAATATCGTTCTTCAGTCATTGATGTTCTCCATTTCTTTCCTGAGCAAAGAATTTGTCACCAGGAATTATTTTCATCCCTGGGCACTGCTTGAGAACACTTAATTCTTTGATTCAAATAAAAGTTTAAAATGTGATCCCAGTGACATTATGTCAAAAGAAACATGTCAAAACAGTGCAGATTCCAAGAGCAATACTGTGCCTAGAAATCCTGTCTTTGCTTTAAAGGAAACAAAATAAATCATAGCAGCAGGAATGCATTTTTTACGAGAGGCTCTTTGCAAACAGCAGAGTCCAGTTCTGCTGTCCTGTGTCTCATTTCCTCTTCCCATCTCTCCACCCTGTGCTCCCTCAAGCGTGAAGTCCATGCTTGATTGTACATCCTGCTTAAAACTCTTCAATGTCACCCCAGCGCCTACAGACTTGTGAACAGCCACCTGTCAGAGGATCTGTACTGTGTTCCTCTCTGGCCCATGCTTCCCCATCATACCTGTTGTTAGAGCAAACCCAAACTAGTTTCCTTTCTCCACTCACACTGTGTTCTTTGCCATTTCTGTGTTCAGTGCTGGCTATTTTCCTCTACCAAATCCTACTTTCGGACCTGGAGAACTCTTTGGCTCTACCATGTATTAGGTGTTTGACTTTGTGTCAAAGGCTTTGATTTCCTTATTTCTAAAGTGGGAGCTTAAGAGCAGCATTTTGGGGGTCCCCGGGAGTGCAATTTGTAGAGGGCTTCAGCACCTGCCCCAGAGAAGTGGCTCAATGGAGATATCGGTGACACTAACTTCATTTTGTGGTTATTATTGTCACCATCCTTCAAAATGTAACATAGGTCTCACTTGTGCTGAGAAGCTTTCCCTTCCTCCCTATCCCAAAGTGAATTACTTCCTTGTACTATGCACTTTTTTTATTGCCCTTTTATATGTTTTTCTTATCATTAACATGGTACATGATTTGTTTTGAAGTTGCTGGGCAATGAAGTTGATCGTGTGGAAAATGAGAATGAGAATGGTTCAAGGACGCCTCGTAATTCATATTTTATGGACCTCCAGCAATGGTGTGGTTAGGATATGATTGTTAATGGTAAGGGATAAGTGTGGTTTTCTTTAGTAACTAAGCTTTATAGCTTTGTAAGCTAATAGTTATTGAGTGCTTACTATATGTCAGGCAAGACACTAAATGTAATATCTGTTCTTTACTATGATCAAATGTGGTAGATATTCTTATTATTCCCCTTCACACATGTGGAAACTGAAGGTGTAGGGTCATAGACCTAGGGATAGACCATCTGCTCCCAAACTTGAACTCTTTGCTCAAGAACACTCTGTTCTGATCTATGAGGTATCATTGCCTCTGGGACTCTCTAGTGTGCAAATGTATTTAATACACTTTCATTTCTAATTCTATTCCAGGTACTCCTTCCAAGATGAGGAGGATATGTTCATGGTAGTGGACCTCCTGCTGGGCGGGGACCTGCGTTACCACCTGCAGCAGAATGTCCGTTTCCAGGAAGACACTGTGAAACTCTTCATCTGTGAGCTGGCCATGGCCTTGGACTACCTGCAGAGCCAGCGTATCATCCACAGGTCAGTTAGGTCTGAGGGGACAGCCTTGCACTGAATGTACGGGAAAGAATCCACAACCTGGTACATTGAACAAGTTCTTGTTGAACATGACAGGTAATTCTCACTGACACTTGCAAAAGTCCTTTAAGGTAGTCTTATTGTCCCTCTTTTGAGGATTAAAAAAAAAAAGAAAATGAGCACATTGAACTTAATTTGCTCAAAGTCACAGTTAGCAAACAATAATACCAGAATCAATGAGTATTGGCACTAGCCAAAGAAAAGGTAACATACAAGAATGGGTCTCCTTCCCTTGTGGAATCCGTGTTAAATGAAGACAGAGAAATAACACAGTAGCTATAAACCCTAACAGACAATAGACCAAAAAAGGATAATACTTTTATTTGTAAAGATATTGGTAGGTGGAAAAAAAAAAAAGATATTGGTAGGTGGGGAGCCTAGGTGGCTCAGTCACTTGACTCATGATTTCGCCTCAGGTTATGATTTTGGGGTTGTGGGATCAAGCCCTGTGTCAGGCTCTGCACTCAGCGTGGCGTCTGTTTCACACTTTTTCCCCCTCTCCCTCTCACTCATTCTCAAATAAATAAAATCTTTTTTTTTTAAAGATATTGGTAGGGTTTTTTTTGCTTAGGTTTTTATTTCAATTCTAATCAGTTAACATATGATATAGTATTGGTTTCAAGAATAGAATTTGTGTGATGTAAAGATATTGGTAGTTTAAATGGTGATTTCCTATATGGTATGTCAATCTCTATAATAACATGTGATAAGTGATCACAGCAGGTATAGTTAGACCATATTAAGTATGAGAAAACCATGATTTGGAGATATTAAATTATTATCTGGGGTATTTATGAGAATTTTTTATTAAGTTTCTGATTTTAATTTCAGTCCAGTTAACATGCAGTCTTATATTAGTTTCAGGTGTACGATAAAGTGATTCAACAATTCTGTACATTATTCAGTGCTCATTAGATAAGTGCCCTCCTCACCTATTTCACCCATTCCCACTCCCACCAGCCTCCCTCTGTGTAACCATTTATTTTCTATAGTTAAGAGTCTTTGTCTTGGTTTTTCTCTCTCTCTCTCTTTTTCCCTTTGCTTGTTGTTTTGTGTCTTAAATTCAATGTATGAGAGCAATCATATGGTATTTGTTTTTCTCTGATGGACTTATCTCACTTAGCATTATATTCTCTAGCTCCATCTATTTCATAGTACTGGAAGTCCTAGCCACACCAAGCAGAGAACAAAAAGAAATAAAAGGTATCCAGATTGGTAAGGAAGAAGTAAAACTTTCAATATTTCTGGATGAAATGATGCTATAGAAAAACCCTAAAGACTCCACCAAAAAGTCCTAGAACCAATTCAGTAAAGTCAGTAAACCTAGGTCTCTCTGAACCTGAAGTTATAACTATTATACCAACTCTAATTCATGACACATATGAAATATAGGCATTAAGTACACATCATTAAGTGAAAAAATCAACACATGTGAGTCTTCCACTGTCTTGTTTCTAATCTTTGAAGAATTTGCTAGGATTTTAAGTATGTTTACTTCTTTACAGTGTAGTAAAAATTTTACCAAATAAACTATTTGCCAACCACCAGGTTGGCATTTGCCTAAAATTTATCTAGATTAGTACAGAGCCTGTGAGTGAAGATGTAGCATCATAATTTATAGATTCTTTGTACAGACACTATGGAACAATCCATGTGTGTGTGTGTGTGTGTGTGTGTGTGTCCGTGTCCTTAACCCTGTATACTTATACGCTCATTGTTTAATTTCCTGTCTTTTGGAGGACTTATTTGTATTGGAAATACAGTCTTCGGGCAACAGATGAACAGAAAGCAGACAGGTTAATCATATAGGATCTTGGAAGTAAATGAACACACCTGGTGTTTTGTCAGTAACTGGGAACCCTGTTCCCAAGCAGTCTTTCTCCCGTACTGACTTTCTGGTCCCCACGGTTCTTTCGAAGGAGAAACTTTCCTATTGGTAGTCTGTGATGTCCCTCTTAGGGTATTCATGTCACTCAGCGAACCCCAAATTGCCCACCCACAGTCTGCTTGGGTTGCTGACACTCTGGATCTCAAAAAGGAGGCAGGTACCATGAGAAGTCTGCATGGCGACAAGTACCTTTCAACTTTCTTCTTCCCCTATTTGAATCTGGTCCCCTGACTTTTCTCTCTGGGCTTCATTTTCTCTGCCCTATGCTTAGAACTGTATTCCAAAAGGAAATCAGGGGGGGGAAAAACTCAGAGAAGTCAACATAATTTGTACCCTAAGGAGTTTGCTAACACCAGACATCGCTGCCCTTCACGTCTTCCATTGCTCTCTGTTGCTCTCATCATCATTCTCCCACTTAAATAAGAGACCAGGGGTTAACTTTCTGCCCCTTGGCCTTTACACACTCACAATTATTACTTCATGCCCATTCTCAGGAGAGCCTCTTTGTACTGAAGTGTCTCCTAACCGTGGCAGATAAGTGCGAGGCAAACTCAGTGACATTCTGAGCATGGTGTGAAAATGAGAGCACATCTTCTTGGGGCAGAAAATAATGCAGTGTATTTCTGTTGTCTATAAGGCCCCACTGCACTTCCATGTGTTGTGTGTGTGTGTGTGTGTGTGTGTGTGTGTGTGTACTTTTTAAAGACTTTACCTATTTATTTGAGACAGAGAGAGAGAGCACAAGCAGGTGGAGCCACAGACAGAGGCAGAGGGAGAAGCAGACTCCCCACTAAGCAGGGAGCCTGTTGCGGGACTCGATCCCAGGACCTGGTACTGGTACTGTGACCTGAGCTGAAGGCAGACACTGAACTGACTGAGCCACCCGGGTGCCCCACATGTGTTCCTTCTGGTAGAGCACTGCAGCCCTTTGTACCTGTCCTCGGGAGCTGTGACATGTTGATGTACAACTACTTATTATCTGCTGCTCTACTACAGTGTAAACCTCATGAGTTAGGGCCTTGTGTGTTTGGCTTTTCACTGTATAACCAGCATGTAGTAAAAATATGAGGGAAGGAGCACTGCCAGAACCACACAAATGATTGACTAAAAGCCAGTTTTATAAATAACGAAGACAAAATTAGAATACAAGGCATGAAAGCCAAGACTTTCAGACCGGCCTTGGTCTTCATGTGGAGTAATCATATGAGTCCTCATGCAAACCAGGCTACTCCTGAGCATGAAAGGAGTCACTATTAATAATTATGCTTGGGTAACAAGCAAACCCATAAATATTCTGGAAAAAATCAGGATGCCTATCAACATCATTAAGGCTTTTCAAGACAGTAGTGGCCAAGTAAACATGTTAATTGGGACAGGGCTCTGATAACCATGGCTTTCTGCCTCCAAAGTACCGAATATCAAATTGAGAAGGTGTCAAGTGGCTTAAAACACTGGGACACAATAAAACAAGCTGTGTTCCTTTGTCTGAGGTGTTAAAAGGATAATAATGATGGCACTCTGAGGCTCCAGCTTGCCGGGCAGAGTTAAAAGCATGAAAAGCAACAGGGAAGAAGAGAAGGCTTTTGAGTAGTTTCATTCTCTTTTTAAAATCTTTCTGCAGGGGAACCTGGGTGGCTTAATCAGATGGGTGCCTGACTCTTGGTTTCAGCTCAGGTCATGATCTCAGCGTCATGAGATCAAGCCCCACATCCACGCTTAGCGTGTGGCCTGTTTAAGATTCTCTCTCCCTTCTCCTCTGTTCCCTGCTCACCCTCTCAAAAAGAAAAAAAAATTTCTTCAAAAAAAATCCCCAAAATTTATCCTAGATTTGATGGCATCTAGGATAACAAAACAGAATATCTTTCCGCTACTCAGAAAAATTGGATTATAAGACCCATCCGAGTTCTGAGTTATTACAGTGTGAACAAAGAAAACAGAGTCTATGAAATTCAATAGCTTCCTAAGACAAGGAAAGACCATCTGCATATATAAGATATATGATTTCCTAATTTCAGACTCAAAACAACATTTTGTCTCTGGACACAGCAGAAGTTTCAAAATCATCCCGCTCTGTCAGCGAACCCGTGTGGAGCAGTAGCAGTGGTGGGCTGCCATTTACTGAGGGATTCCTGGGGACCAGGTGCTCTGGTGGGCACCTGTGATTTATCTCATTTAATCTGCTCGCAACCAGGAGGCTGAAGGTGTCACTGTCCCCATTTTACAGCCTAGGAAACTGGTATAGAAAGATGAGGTAACTCGCCCAAGTTTGCATGGCTAACAAGCAGGGGAGACCTCCCTGAAGGACATGCAGACATCTCCACCACTCTCCACACTGCTGGTGCTCGGCATGGTTTTGGCTCTGGGGGCACCGTGGGACAAGGTGAGACATGGCCGCTGCCTGCAGACATGTAGTCTGGCTGCCCAGGCGAAGACGGTCCATGTGGAACCCACTGATGAGAGAACAGCCTACAATTAGATGCTAAATTGTGAGAAATCCTGAAGTACTTCAGACAAGATGACGGTTTGAGGGGACAAAACAAAGTTTCTTGAAAGCTCAGAGGATTTAATAGGGTTTTAACAACCAGAGCAGAAAGAAGAGTCCAGTCTATGTCAGAGGAAGTGTACTCTGAATAAAAGCACTCATTTATCTCCCTGGGTTGCAGAGAATCATCTCTGTTTTTCATTTTTTTTCTTCACATGGACTTTCCTGCCAGCAGTGTCTACTTTAGTTATTTTTTTGAATACTGTAAGTCCTGTTTCTTTCATAAATTCCACCCGAGACATAAAGGGGAGGTTGTTTGTTTGTTGTGGACTTTTTTTTTTTAATCCACCAAATTTAATTTTTGGTAGTTTCCTAAATATGTAGACTATTTAGCTACTTGTCCTCAATTTTAGAAACTTTCTTTTCTACAGTTGTGGAAGACACAGGATTGCTCCATAACCATTAATTTTGAATTCTGTAATTGGACACTTTTCTTATTACCAAAATGTCAAATATTTTTCTATGAGGACAGCTTGAAAATCAGCGTCACTTTCCAAATGATGGCCAACTTCT